TGGAAATTGCCTCCATAATAAGAATTCTATATATTCCTGTATTATCAGAAAAATTATGGAGAATAGGTAACAAATTTAACATTGGAACAGTTTTTCAGCTAACTAATGCTCTATGAACTTTTTCATTCAAAATTCAAAAGGTTGTATTTATTAAGTAAATGTACTAGAGGAGTAAATTCTAGCTCAATTTTAATAAAAAATTGACTCTTACTATTTTTTCGTTTTCCCTTGAGTTTTCGGTATTTTAAATGTAATATTAAAATAAACAATTATTTATTTATCTAGAATTAATTATGAATTGTAAACGTACCTACAATAAACAACTCGACTCGATAAACATATTACAGGAAATGTTGGTAGTGTCCACCTTCAGCTCGAATACAACCCCGAATTCGTTTTTTGATGGTTTTTCTAACTCATCGAAATATCCTTATATCTCGGCGAATTAAAGCGAATGCGTCCGATAACGCTGCCAAAGAACTTTCCTTGAAGTGACAGGAGTTTTTCTTTGATTAAATCCAAAGGCTTGCAAGTAAGACCGGTCCTGTAATTCATATTCAACATATTAATATCTAGGAATATGTATTCGGTTGTAAATAATTAGTTGTCCAAATTTCATTTAATTCCAAGTGGAAATCTAGATTTTTTTTAAACTTTGACACCCTTTAGCTAAGGAACAAAGCGAAATCGGACTCATGTTGATATGAAAAAATAATCTTGTTTTTAGCTTAGGAATCTGCTCCCAAGCGTTGGCCCATGTTTTCTGAAACACCCTGTATATTACCTACATTAAAACGTGAAAATTTAAGGAATCAAAAATTTATGACCATGTTTGGGAAAACGGTCATATAATTCAATGGAGTTTGACCAAAATGTTGGAGAAGGGAAATAAATTCGTTAAAAGAAAATTGAAAGATTCCGCGATTTTATTAAACGGTGAAAGGTGTATTTCAAATTATTTTGTGATTTAAATACTTGTTGGCTATAAATATTAAAAGAAAAATCAATAGAATAATAGAATGAACATCATATGATATAAGTATCTAGTTATGGAAACCCAAAATTCGAAAATGACAATTATATTGGTTTATTGCATGATAAATCCAATCGAGAGACCGAGAATAAGAACTGACTAACCTCAGGAAAAGAATCGAATGTGATGGTAACGAAAATATTCAGAATCGAAAATAGGAATGGCCACAATTTTTCCCGATGCCATTTCCTTGAATTTCATAACTGTATCCAAAATTTTCGAATTTGGCCATTTTTGTCCAGATTTTGGACAGTATTCGATAGATGAAAGTGATAAAAGTGCTCAGAATCGAAAGAAAAGGCTCAAGAAATTTTTCTCGATTGATGAGAAAAGGCTCAAAAAATTCTGAGCAAATTCCGACGTCCAATTATTTTACCAACTCTTAGACTTTTTTGTCACTTGAGATTTTCCGACAAAACACGCCTCTTTCGAGTAAAAGTGTCAGTTTCAGCCGCCATTTTGGTTCATCAAGTGACTACATCGATGCGCACATCATGGATCCCTAAAGTTGTGAGATTTTATTCATCGTTTCCATTGGTTTAGGCACTTAAACTCTTCAAAACAATACAAAACAATAAAAAAATTGAAAAAGGAAGAAAGATCTTTCAGAAAACGTTGTGTACAGTGTGTCAGTGTCGACGGTGGATTCTTCAAACAATTATTTTAAATAAATATTACGTATTTCATTTGTTTCATTGATAATTGTTATAATAACATGAAGAAACACTTGGTTTGTTTCGCTTTTAATTTCTCGTATTATCAAAACATAGTGTTCGTTAAATCGATTTTTCTCGAAAACGGATCGAGATACTGAAATGAAATAAGAATACATAATTAATGGAAAAATGATTGCTCTTTCAGATTTTGAATCAATTTTCATGTTAGACATACAGGGTAAAAAGTTATTAACTAAATTTTCGGTAAAATTGGTCGTAAGTGGCGCCCTCTATGAGCAACGCTGAAATTGCAACACGCATCTTAATCGTCGCTTAAAAAAAATATTGTTTCACAAATTTTCAAGTTCCTAACCTACATATTTTCAGAATAATCCCAAAAAAACGATTTAAAATTTTAACTTTCAACATCCTTTATTTCCGAAACTATCAACTTTCGTATGAGGCATGTTTGCGCCAATGGTCACCATTTCACGTGTACCATTTCGATTTTCCCATTGTTAATGATCCACCCTGTATACTTGCCTTTCTTAAAGTTTCATGAAAACAACGTTGTTTTGGCTTTTTTGAGAAAGCAGCTTAGAACGAAAATATTTCAGTAGCAATATACGTTTCAGTGAACGTACCAACTATGTTTGAAATTATTATTAATGACCTTACTTGTAACTTCATCTTTGCCTGCTAAATATTTAACTGCCCATTAAATTACTCACGCCTACCACAGCTACTCATTACATTGAAATTTGTCGTTAGAGCAGTATTTTATTATCTATAACGACTATAAATGCGACAACAAGAAGTCATAAAATCTCCCCTCAATGAAAATCATCCCTCGATCGGGTGGAAAGCCAGTGACTCTGGGGGGAATATAGTGTATCGTGAGTTGGGACTGGGGTCCTAACTCGATATATTATATGAGCTTTTATTGGGTTTTAGTGCGGTGTCGGCTACAATCATTACTGGAACCAGTAAATTGATTCGGTTATACGCCCGTTATACTGAAATATAACAAAACTGTTGCGATAAAATCCTGATGGTTTCAAAATAAAAACGACTGTATTTGTTAACATCTATAATTTTAAATTAAATTATTTTCTAGAGTTGAGATATTTTTTAAACAATAGTCACTTAAAGGTTAACGTTTATTTCATGTATTATAGTTAGTCAAGGGTTTTATCAAGTGTATGTAGTCAAATCAAATGTATTGGTATGAATATCTTGATTATTTATCATTGTACATTGGGTAAGTATGTCATCAGAAGAGAAAGAACTAACCTCAAACACACAGCTACGAATATAATTTACTTCATTAAAAAATAACAAAAAAGAAACTGAAAATGTAGTAACTGGTTAGCACTGAGAAAATCATTCAAACAAAATACGATAATAAATACATTTAAGTTTCTTTTTAAAAAACATATATTTTATTATCATCTCTTAGATTTTTTTACTGTGTTTTAAGAAATTAAGTTAATTCAAATAGATTCAAAAAGAAAAAAATGTTATCAAATGAAGTGAAATAATGTTCTTCGATATCAGAAATCTAGGTAGGTATACAAATCCCACAGACAAGACTCCCAACTGCTGGTATTGCGGGAAACAACTACCTACTCTGTGGGCTATATGCCCCACCTAGTATCGAATTGTACTAAATAGGACAGCAAGAATACATGATATTTCTTGAATGATCGCATTTTCAGTGTATCAGGGGCTTATTTTAAGTAAGTACTTTTCAACTCTTCTGTTTTCAAAATTAATATTCAAAAAACAGTTGGTAATCTGCAAAGTGAAAATAAATAGCTGAAACTTTTATGTAAAGTACATTTTTTTTATAAGAGAATTATTCTTGGCTTTTCTACATTTGTAAAACGAAAAGTGAAAAGTTGAAAAGTACTTTCAAAAATAGGCCCCAAGTTTATTTATAATTTATAATAACTTTTTTGTCACAAATTGATCGGGATTTCTAATAATACCTTCAAAATAAAAAAAACTAACCGATTTTCTTTTCATCTAAAAAAAGGAAATTTTTAGAATTGAGTTATATAAAAAAAATTATAAAACTTTTAACTTCGTCTAAGTACATAGGGAAACGTGGAATCAAAAACACCCTAAATTTAATATATCAATAACTAAATTATTAAAAATCAGGAAATCCACTATTTCATACATTCCTCACATTTTTGCATAATTTGTCATTATGAAAACCTATGTTTAAAAAAAAACCATAAATGTTTTTGTTTAATATTAAGTATGTTATAATATATATTTTTTTTAATAGCTATTTCGGCAAGTTCTCTCCACGCTTGCATTTACAATTTATTCTAAAAAAAATTTACGGTGTCTCTGCAACATTATTTTTCAAAAATCCGTGGGACAGATGAATTTTTTATTTCGGTCCGAATTTTGTCACCAAATATGACATACAGTTGGTAATCATTCTGGGATTGTCCACTGACAGAACCAAAACAAGCCTAAGACATGTATGTTCGCAGAACTGATTTTCTTCGTTTGTTTTTCCAAGTTTCTGTCCAATGATTTTTATTTGACCACAGTTATTCACAATATTCTACCACACTTTTTGCCGTTCTATCTAAAGTGATAAGAAAGTTATAAGAAATTATGAGAACCGTTCTTGTTGTTTCAAAATAGTACGCTTTTCAACTGTTAAATTTTCCAAAACAGCTTTAAATTCTTTATTTACAAAAAATATATAATTATAAAAGGTGTTCTGTATAACCTACATCGTGTTCTAGAGAGAGGACATATATTCTCTCTAACTTATTAGATATCAATTGGTGTTTTTTCTGTCTTTTTATTTCTTTGAGATCGCAAAAAAAATTCTAAAACATACCTTTTTTTCTATATGGAAATCTGAAGATGATAGCTTCTGTAAAATTTTATATGAATATCTTTGTACTGTTTCATCTAAGGTTGGTTTGGATTTTATTATTTTTTTAATCATCTCTTTCTCCAAAGACATATTTAAGTTAAAAGGTAATTTTGATTTGAATTTTCAGTAATAAAGTATTACTACTATTAATCGTTTCTTCTCTCCTATGTATATTGCTCCATCGGTTTTAGCATGGATTAGAAACATTGAAATCGTTATTTTATCTCGAAAAAAATTATAGAACCTCAAACTTTTTACGTTCACTTTAAAACACCCTGTGTAATTGAATCAATTTTAATTTCTTACAAGTTATCGTATCATATCATATTCTCACAAATAGATATTTTAATTACTGTTATACAAAAAATGTATTTTATTTTTATCATGCTATTTTTACTTCCAGGGACTTGCGTAAAACATCCAGAACCGTATTATGGTAGAAAAATTGGACCACTACTAGAATTTGCTCACGGAATTAAAGGAACGGCTTACGCAGTAGACGAAAGTACGATATTTATTAAGGGCTTTTCCTATGATGGGACCGGTCCTGATGCTTTCTTTTGGATTGGAAATTCTCCTAGGCCTAGTCCCGAGGGAATCATTATACCATATCCAGAAGACTATATCGGACGGTAAGTACAACAAAAAATTATTAAGTCATTGAAGAGTTATCTCCCCATAAACCTTACTTCGTTTGTCCAAAAGCCAATACCTAGATGTGGTATATATGGGGATAATAATATTGGGTGTATTTTGTTAGCATATATACTTTGTCCCAAAGTAATGTTATTGAACAATTATTTTTTTAATGTGATTTGAATATTACAGAAAAAATAGTTTTTGTTAAAACCAATGCAGTATTTCTACTAGAAAGAAGATTAATTTTGAACAGGTACGAATAATCCAAGTGAACTATTGTTTTAAGAAACCAAAGAATTCTTCTAATATTTGATACAAATAGTAACGAATTGTAGCAAGAAATTTTTGTAGTTCAGTTACTGGGTGCTGTAATATAACTAAGCGACCAGTTTTTGTATGAAATTTCAGGAATAAATCCATTTTATTGAGGCAGTCAGCAATAAAATGTCATTGTTTTATTAATTTTGAACCAACTATTCTGACAAGACTCAAATCTACCGAAGTTTTAAGGCTGATAAAATCAGATATACTGGGTGAGCGTAATCTTGCAAACCATAAAGAAAAGGTAAACAGTTAAATGGGCAAAATTTAAGACCATTGTTAACGACTCAATTATTTTCTTTAATACTATTTTTTTGTTTTTTTTTTTCGTTATGTTATTGAATTGTTTTTGTACACATTGTTCAAAAAAATATCCATTTCATACATATAATAATTCAATTTTAATTCACAGTGAAATTGTTTCCAAAAAGTTGCTATAAAAATGTTTATACAGATTTATATAAAAAACCTACACATATACAGGGTAGGCCATTTTAATCCCTCCACCCGGATATATCTGCCTAGGTAAAGTTTAACGAAAAATGTTTCAGACAAAAGTAACTGGAGTGGAACATGTTATACGAAGGTCATTTTCAAAGTCATCTCAAGATCAACTTTGTTTTTTTTTTAAAGGGACCCCTATTTTTGACCCCGGATTAGGAAAGGCCGGGACGTTCAGATCATATATAGGGTCGGTTAACCACCCAAGGTCATGAAAAGGTCAATTTAATTTTTCCTCAATGTATGCACCCAAATGTCCCGTCAAAGGTAAGGTTTGGTAAAAAATGTTTCAAATAAAAGTTGCTCGACTTCGAGGGAGCCATGTTATAGCGACTTTAGCTCTGACCTTGGGCGTCATTTTCAAAGTCATTTCAAGGTCAACTTTAGTTTTTTACAGGAAACACTTAGTTTTGACCTCGGATGCGAGTAGAGCGGAAAATTCTACATTTGATAACACTTTTTATAATAATACAAATGTTTACTAAATGTTGTAAGAAACTGTAAATTACAAATTCAAACATCGGTTTTAGGAAATTTTTATGTTACAATTAATACAAATTAATTACAAATAAAATTGATCTTTACATGACCTTGGGTGGTCAACCGATCCCACATGTGATACATCACAATTACCTTCAAGATCATAAGCAATGTCACCATAACATGCCCCCCTCCGAGTCCAGTAATTTTTGTCTGAAACATGTTTGGCTAAACTTTACCTGGGTAGAAATATCCGGCTGGAGGGATTAAAATGGCCTACCCTGTATATCTCCAATAATAGCTGGTCTGCTAACAGCATTAATTTAAAAATAGAATGATCTGAAACTTCCATTTCATTTACCATTTACAAACTTAAACAACTTTGAAACTGAGTTTCAAAATTTCTCCAACTTTTCCATAATTATATACTTTTTAACTTGATTTCTAGGCTTCTATAGTAACTGTAAATAGTTGCACAAATTGAGTTTCGGAATTTTTTCTGAAGAAGAGAGCGATATGTCTCGAAACCTTAAAAATTTAAAACGACCACGTGGTAACTAGCCCGGAAATTGACAACTGCCACTTGTAAGCCTGTAACCAAGAAGTAGATATACAGGGTGATTCACAAATGGTAACCAAAAATGGAACCTCGTATACCTTTGGTAAATTTTAAAGGGAGTCTTTCCTATAAAGTTTTTATCTAAGACGCTTTGTTAAAAGGATACAGAGTAATAAACTTCAAAAAATATTTTTAATATTTTTAAATAATTTAAAAACTAGTAAGTGAAATAATTTGAAATTGGGCACATATATTTATGTAAACATTGTGCAAAATCTAAGGGCTCTTCCTAAAATTTACATGCTCCAGTGGCATATTTTTCTAAATAAAATAGTACGCCACTGCTTTACGGTAATAACCATGATATTTTCGGATTTGTCTTTCAATGTTCTACAAATTACTTCTCTGTTATGTTTTTCGAAAAAAACCAGATTTTCGGGTAAAACTTAGAAAACTAACTGAAAACACTTTTACTTAAATTACATGACAAAACTAATCATTCAGTTATTTATTCCAATAAGGAAATAAATAACATTAGTCATCATTTTAAAGATTTTATTTGAGTAAATGCTCAAAAATACCTCCATTTCCACGAACACAGGCCCGACATCTTTTTAGTAACAAAAATGTAATTTGTTCGAAATTTATTGTTGCTTAAATCTGATGAAAAGCATTATTTATTCTTTCTTCTAACTGCTCAGAATGTCAATGTTGCTATCGCAGCCCACTATGTAATTTTAAAAAGCATTATATTCAAACTTTATAGGAAATATTCCCCTTAAAATTCACCAAAGAATACAAGATTTCATTTTGGTCACCATTTGTGAGCCTGATTTTGTCCACCCTGCATAATTATGGAAAAGTTGAATCTTCCTTTATATTTTTTTTCAAATAAATACGAATTCAAAATACGTGCAAAGTTCAAGTTGTTTCAGTTTCGCTTTGTCAGCTTTGGAACTTTTGACCACTGCGTACAAGAAGAACTAAGACGTACAAACATTTTATTTGAAAATGGTCTGTAGAAATTTCTAAAAAGAATTCCTTGCGACAACAACTGTTTTTCTTTTGACAATTAAATACGAAACCCCTCAGGTTCCTCTTAATTTTGTTCATATTAAACATATAAATAGTTACCGTATACTACTATACTCATATGTACACCTATAGGTATATAAAAGACATCAAGGATTCATATGCATATAATCACCATTTTCATTGATCGTCACAGTTTAATTTTCACTGCATTTTACATAATCAGATATGGAGGTGAAAATATTACCTAATGTGCCTTGGTTAGAAATAATATTATACGATTTTTTAAGACACTACCCTGATTTTTTCTACTTTTACCGCACGGTCTAGGTTTATTTGATCTTTTTCATACAATACACAAAAGACGACTATAGAGGGTGGATGTCGTTAAAGCAGATTAAATTCTCTCCGTAATAAATGATATTGAAAGTTTGAAACATCCCATACAATCAACCCGCAACTGATGACATAGCAACTTGGGAATATAGAGCTCTGAAAGGGGAACCCTGGACTGGAATAGTGCCCGGAGTCAGACAGTCGGAGAGAGAAACACACACCGACAGAGTACGTTGAAAGGGGGATGATCGTAATTGTGATGAAGTCAGCTCAACATCTTTATTAACTACTGAGTGGGTGCGCTACGGTATAAAGCCAGTTGTTTGAATGGGTGCGTTTTGTTTTTTATTTTCGCAGTATTACTCTACGTCCAAATATTTCATTCTTCACAGCAATGCATGCATATGCTGAAAAAAGGAAGAATTATTCAATAATTATTATTTCTTGTTATTTTTTTAAAAAACCTCATACGAAGGAGACCACCCTGAATTGTTTAAAATAGGTTTTAAATTCTCAAAAGATATGAGCAGAGCATATAACAGAAATATTGAGTTTTTACATAAAAAAGGTTATTGGTTATAAGTGTCAGAAAAATTATGTACAGTATATATCCTCTGTTTAGAGGATTATGGAGAGCAACTTTATCCTGTTGCCGAATAAAATTGTTACCAAAATTAGAGCCCAAATTTAAAGGCAATTGTCTAATAGTATAGTAGACAATTGTAGTAGATAATTGTCTATAGTAGATAGATTTGGCAATATTCAGCGGCTTACAATTTACCCTAATTTAAGTCTTTTGTATACATTTTTGCAGTGTTACCTTTTTTTTCATGTTGGAAGAAGTTTTTCCAGGAAGAAAGAACGAGGTCTCAATATCCTCCTATAGGTATTTCATAAATGGTTAGACCAAATATTCAACATACATTCATTGCTGGAAACAGCAAGAATTGCAGATTTCATATTTGATATTTTTTCAGCTTGGAAATACAAAAAATAAGACGGTTGACATTTATAACCAATAACTTTGTATGATCACAATATATGAAACTCTTTTTTTCTCGATTTTTTATATCACATGTCCTATATGTAATAGTTTTTGAAAACCTGTTTTTAATTAGCTTTCTAATAATATAGTACTTGGCATGTTTGTAGTCTACTATAATCGAAATATTTTTACTTCTTTATCAGTTACCTGCCATTTTTATAAAAAATGCTGGTGAAGTGAAATCTATAGTTCATGTTTTTTTAGATATTTGATCCTTTGATAGTTAATTTTTAATTCCAAACGACATATAATAAGTTGAACAATCACCAACAACACCAAACTGCACAGATGCACAGTTTGCGAAGGATCCACAGTAAGAGTAACAAAAACAGGTGATTTTAATAATAGTTAGGGGCAGGTACCTGTGATCTGATAAATATAATTATTTAATGAAGATTTTATATTAGATATAAGGTGCGTTCCAAAGTATACAGAAGTTTCTAAAAATAAGATCAACCAAAAGTGTTTTTGGCAAAACCGATTTATTTTATTCAAAATAGTTCCCTTCCGATACAGCGATTTGGACGGTACAAAATCAGGTCGAATAAGTGTATTAGATCGTAGGATGTCCTTCAGGATGTCGGTACAAGCCTTTTGGATGGCTTCTATGTAAACAAAACGCTTTCCTTTCATCGACAAATGCATTATTCCGAAAAGGTAAAAGTCGCACGGTGCCATATCAGGTGAATACGGGAAGTGGTTGACAGTTAAAATGGGAT